AGAGGGATCCATTAGATGGATGTGGGATATCATGAAGAGGGATCCATTAGATGGATGTAGGATATCATGAAGAGGGACCCATTAGATGGATGTAGGATATCATGAAGAGGGACCCATTAGATGGATGTAGGATATCATGAAGAGGGATCCATTAGATGGATGTAGGATATCATGAAGAGGGATCCATTAGATGGATGTAGGATATCATGAAGAGGGATCCATTAGATGGATGTGGGATATCAGGAAGAGGGACCCATTAGATGGCTATGTGATATCATGAAGAGGGACCCATTAGATGGATGTAGGATATCATGATGAGGGATCCATTAGATGGATGTAGGATATCATGAAGAGGGATCCATTAGATGGATGTGGGATATCATGAAGAGGGATCCATTAGATGGATGTAGGATATCATGAAGAGGGATCCATTAGATGGATGTAGGATGAGAACATTTCCTGGGTAAGTCATGTCTGTGTAATTAGGGGGCGCTGTAGCCCCCAAGTAGTAAAGGATCTGGTATGGAGTAAGGTGCAGGAGGTGGAGGTAGAGGAAGAGCGCACCAACAACAGTGACTGATGAAATATATGGAAAAAACGAGTGCTAGATGTATGCAGGTGGAGCCGCCAGCATGAACGGTAATACCCTCAGAACCTTCTAAATACAATATATATATCAACATGCAGCACTAGGATGGAAAGTAATTATCATAAATTGTTACTTGTATCAAAAACCCGCATGATGTACGGATATATATAGTGTCTCTAGATATCGGAAGAAATTAAACAACACTCTGAAACAGTGCAAATATGTGGTATGAACGTGACAGTCTTACAGAAGGTCAGGGTAACAATGGTGACATTGGTGGTAGATATCGGTGTGGATTGCACGAACCAGATGGCGCTTATTAATGCGCATATGAATGATGATACTCGGGTCATCTGAACTTGGACATCTGGGATACGGATCGTCCGATGGACAGCCACAGGAATTACAGCATATCAGCCACACTTCCAGATACTTGCAAAATGTGCTATTGCACGAAACATGTCAGAAAGTGGCTTTCAGTGACCCTGCCACGTGGACCCCTCAGTTGGCTAGGTGCCAAAAGTGTTTTTGAAAGTGTAAGTGTCATTCTTTTTAATTGTTGTTCATCATAATAAAGCAGTGTTGCACTATGGCATTTGTTGTGCTTGGGCTCATTCCTCTATGAGCCTGCCTGCCTTTTAAAAGGAGACCATTGGATGATATCTTAACTGCTGGCTCCCTCTGGTGGATTTCGTGTGTACTACATACTCTTTGATGCTGGGCTAAAGACCTGTAATGACATCCTGATCGCTGGCTCCCTCTGGTGGATTTTGATCGCTTTGCAAGTATCTGGAAGTGTGGCTGATATGCTGTAATTCCTGGGGCTGTCCATCGGACGATCCGTATCCCAGATGTCCAAGTTCAGATGACCCGAGTATCATCATTCATATGCGCATTAATAAGCGCCATCTGGTTCGTGCAATCCACACCGATATCTACCACCAATGTCACCATTGTTACCCTGACCTTCTGTAAGACTGTCACGTTCATACCACATATTTGCACTGTTTCAGAGTGTTGTTTAATTTCTTCCGATATCTACAGACGCTATATATCATACGGGTTTTTGATACAAGTAACAATTTTATGATAATTACTAGAGATGAGCGAATTTTTTCAAAAATTCGATTCGCCTGATTCGCCGAATTTTCCGAAAAAAATTTTGATTCGATTCAAATTTATTCGCTGCAAATTTTACTTATAAAAAGGGTTTCTAGGCTTCAGAGAGCCTTTATATTAGTGCAGAACACTGTACCTTTAATTTAAATGTCCTTGGAGTCTGCTGGGGAAGAGAAATAATACTGTCAGTCAGTATGACATGCAGATGAGTGCCGTCCATCTTAGAATCACCGCACACTTCACTCATTTGGCCAGTCACGGGGCACGACGAAGAAGAAGAAGAAGAATGAAAAGAAGAAGAATGAAAAGAATGAAAAGAAGAAGAAGAAGAAGAAGAATGAAAAGAATGAAAAGAATGAAAAGAATGAGAAGAAGAAGAAGAATGAAAAGAATGAAAAGAAGAAGAAGAAGAATGAAAAGAAGAATGAAAAGAATGAAAAGAAGAAGAAGAATGAAAAGAAGAATGAAAAGAATGAAAAGAAGAATGAAAATAAGAAGAAGAAGAATGAAAAGAAGAATGAAAAGAATGAAAAGAAGAATGAAAAGAAGAAGAAGAATGAAAAGAAGAATGAAAAGAATGAAAAGAAGAATGAAAATAAGAAGAAGAATGAAAAGAAGAATGAAAAGAATGAAAAGAAGAATGAAAATAAGAAGAAGAATGAAAAGAAGAATGAAAAGAATGAAAAGAAGAATGAAAATAAGAATGAAAATAAGAAGAAGAATGAAAAGAAGAATGAAAAGAATGAAAAGAAAAATGAAAATAAGAAGAGGAATGAAAAGAAGAATGAAAAGAATGAAAAGAAGAATGAAAAGAATGAAAAGAAGAATGAAAATAAGAAGAAGAATGAAAAGAAGAATGAAAAGAATGAAAAGAAGAATGAAAAGAAGAAGAAGAATGAAAAGAAGAAGAAGAATGAAAAGAAGAATGAAAAGAATGAAAAGAAGAATGAAAAGAAGAATGAAAATAAGAAGAAGAATGAAAAGAAGAATGAAAAGAATGAGAAAAGAAGAATGAAAATAAGAAGAAGAATGAAAAGAAGAATGAAAAGAATGAAAAGAAGAATGAAAAGAATGAAAAGAAGAATGAAAAGAAGAATGAAAATAATAAGAAGAATGAAAATAAGAAGAAGAATGAAAAGAAGAATGAAAAGAATGAAAAGAAGAATGAAAATAAGAAGAAGAAGAATGAAAATAAGAATAATTCCAGTAAAGCAAAAAGTGTTTCTGCAGAGTTCCGCTATTTCTGACAGTTCTCTGACAGTTCCTTCACATTTACAGCGATTGAAACATTGTATCTATTTGTTTCCTAATAAAAACATCTGTATCCTAAATGGAAACAAATACATACAATGTTTCAACCGCTGTACATGTGAAAGAACTGTCAGAGAACTGTCAGAAATAGCGGAGCTCTCTGCAGGGACATTTTTGCCGGCTGTAGAAGGGATGAAAACGGCCGATCAGGAAAAATTTGATTCGACCATCCGAAGTCGGCAAAAATTCGGATTCGCTGCGAATCAAATTTTTCCTGAAATTCGAAACAAATTCCACTTCGCCTGATTCGATTCGCTCATCTCTAATAATTACTTTCCATCCTAGCGCTGCATGTTGATATATATAACAGTGACTGATGGTTTCCTTGTCCTGTAATAAATGTTCTGTACATGAAGCTCTATGACAGGACACACGTCTTATATTGTAGCTGAATACCGGGGAGGCAAAAGAGATTGTGACACAAAAAGGTGGCTGGAATACGACCCCCTGATGGAGAGGGGGCGCTATCACACTTTGCACTGACACCCAAACTAAACTTTTATCATTTTTATTATACAGATAGAACTTTCTTTTGATGGTATGTAATCACCACTGGGGGGGTGGGGGCTTTTTTTTTTGCTAACAAAAATAAAAACAAAAATAAACAAGAGAAATGAACATGTTCATTTCTTTAGCAAATAAATAATATTTATTCATAAATTTTAGCCAAAATGTATTCTGATCCATTTCTTTGGTGAAAATACCCCAAATCAGTGTTTATTATTTAGTCTGTAGGGAGTTATAGAGTCCACAAACTATTCTATATTATAGAAACAGAACAAGACCGACCCCCCGATATTCTATGCTTGGTGTTATAAAACATTTTTCTTTATAAATTCAAAACAAAATGTATTGTGCTCCATGTCTTTGGTGTAACCCCTCCCCCCCCCCCCCCCACAAGTGTATAGTGATTGGTTGTATGAATGTTATAGAGCCTACAGACTATGGGAGATATATCTGAAAACTGCTCCATCCTGATGTACTGACAGCCGATCTCATATCTGGAGGCCCCAAAATGTCAGGACAGTACAAATCCCCCCAAATGTCAGGACGGTACAAATACCCCCAAATGTCAGGACGGTAAAAATACCCCCAAATGTCAGGACAGTACAAATCCCCCAAATGTCAGGACGGTACAAATACCCCCCAAATGTCAGGACAGTACAAATCCCCCAAATGTCAGGACGGTACAAATACCCCCCAAATGTCAGGACGCTACAAATCCCCCAAATGTCAGGACGCTACAAATCCCCCAAATGTCAGGACGGTAAAAATACCCCCCAAATGTCAGGACAGTACAAATCCCCCAAATGTCAGGATGGTACAAATCCCCCCAAATGTCAGGACGGTACAAATACCCCCCAAATGTCAGGACGCTACAAATCCCCCAAATGTCAGGACGCTACAAATCCCCCAAATGTCAGGACGGTACAAATACCCCCCAAATGTCAGGACGCTACAAATCCCCCAAATGTCAGGACGCTACAAATCCCCCAAATGTCAGGACGGTACAAATACCCCCTGTAACGGAAGCGCAGGCAGGACAGAGCACACGGAGAAGATGGGGAACACACAAAGCTTTATTGAAGCAACAAAAGGACAGACACTCAATGGGGAAATGACAGGGAGGGTGATGTGTGCGCAAACCAGGGATGATTCCAGGCACGGGGGGTCTTCAGCGACAGGCAGGCAATCTCCCCCCTAGGCTTGGGGTCTCAGCCAAGCTCCCTCCGTGACTAGACAGCGGATTGGAGTCTTGGGCAACAGGCGGGCAACCTACCCCTGGGTAAAGGTCTCGGGCAAAAGGCAGGCAATACCCCCCTAGGCTTGGGGCCTCAGTCAAGCTCCCTCCGTGACTGGACAGCGGATTGTAGTCTCGGGCAACAGGCAGGCAATCTCCCCCTGGGCAGGGGTCTTGGGGACTCAACGGGACTCTAGCTGTGGAGTCTGGCCTCAGCACAGCTCCCACCCAGCTTTCTAGGGACATCGGGTTCACAGGGACTCAACGGGTAGCGATGGCTCAAGCACTCAGGGGCACCACAGGTAGCTATACTTCAGGCATGCCATCAGGACATGGGTGGTCAGTGCACACACAGCGGGGCCGTTCGGAACACAGGTGGTCGGTGCACACAGCGGGGACAGTTCAGGACACGGGTGGTCGGTGCACACACTGGGGGCACAGTTCAGGACACGGGTGGTCAGTGCGCACAACAGGGACAGTTCAGGACACGGGTGGTCGGTGCACACAGCGGGGACAGTTCAGGACACGGGTGGTCGGTGCACACAGCGGGGACAGTTCAGGACACGGGTGGTCGGTGCGCACAGCAGGCACAGTTCAGGACACAGGTGGTCGTGGCGCACAACAGGGACAGTTCAGGACACGGGTGGTTAGTGCACACAGCTGGGACAGTTCAGAACACGGGTGGTCAGTGCGCACAACAGCCAGTTTAGGACACGGGGTGGTCAGTGCACACAACAGGGACAGTTCAGGACACGGGTGGTCAGTGCACACAGCAGGAACAGTTCAGGACACTGGTGGTCGGTGCACACAGCGGAGACAGTTCAGGACACGGGTGGTCAGTGCACACAACAGGAACAGTTCAGGACACGGGGGGTCAGTGCACACAGCGGGGACAGTTCAGGACACTCACAGTAAGCAGTGGCAGTGCCTCAGGAACAGGCGGCTCCAGTGCACACAACAGGGACGACCAGCGGTCAGCGTTCCAGGGACACACAGCGATCAGCAGACAGTTCAGCAGCTCCCAGGGCACTCAGCAGCAGTTCAGGACACGCTTCCAGGGACACACAGCCACGGACAGTGTGCAGGCTCCCTCACTCACAGCTCCAGGGCACTCAGCAGCAGACAGGAGGCTCCAGGGACACAGCAGCGTTCCAGGACAACCAGTGTCAGCAGGCTCAGCAGCAGCTCCCAGGGCACTCAGCAGCAGACAGCTTCCAGGGACACACAGCCACGGACAGTGTGCAGGCTCCCTCAGCAGCAGCTCCCAGGGCACTCAGCAGCAGACAGGGTGCAAGGGTGCTCAGTAGACAGGCTTACAGACTGGCAGGGTCTCAGCTGTGGGGTCTGACCTTTGAGGAGAAGGCTCATGCAGAGCTGTGGAGACTCCCAACCCTGGGGTATTGTAGAGGGCTACAGTCCTGACCTTTTGGGGGTCTGCAGAGTGCGCAGGGGGGATGGCTGGGGAGGCTCGGTCCCCCTCACCGAGCCTCCCAGCATCTTTTTGGGAGCAAGATGATAACCAACAGCATGGACAGGAACAGAGAGAGATGCTGCTTCCTGTGTGGGTCTCTTGAAGATCATGTGGGACGCGGCTAGGTTGCCTCGGCAACGGCCGGCCCAGCCCTGTCCATGGAAACCCCACAGACCTTGGAATGTACAAGGGGGAAGGGAGGGGTGTCATATGGTGGGGGGATGGGACTATACAAATCCCCCCAAATATCAGGACAGTACAAATTCCCCCCAAATGTCAGGACAAATCCCCCCAAATACAAATCCCCCCACATGTCAGGACAGTACAAATCCCCCCAAATGTCAGAACAGTACAAATCCCCCCCCAAATGTCAGAACAGTACAAATCCCCCCAAATCCCCCCAAATGTCAGAACAGTACAAATCCCCCCAAATGCCTTTTTTTGGAAAGTAGTCACTCTGAGGTATTTAGTAAGAGGCGAGATTTTTGAAGTTGTAATTTTTGGTCACAATACGTATTTTTACATCCTGTCCCCATAGCAGTACAGCGCCGTCATATAACTGGTGTGGGCGTGGTCAGTGACAATGACTGGTGACAAAATATATATATATTTTTTTTCTTTTTTATTAACTTTTTCTTCTTTTTTACCATTTTTCCCATTTTCCTGTTACATACTATGACCAGAGCAGTGCTGCGTTACCATAGTGACACTGTACTACTCTGGGAAGGTGAACAGGATTTATTATCACACTATGTGCCCCTGCTTCTCCGGGCTTTACCCCCCCACCGGGGAGCCTGGAATAAAAGCCAGCACTTCCACCAGCTTACCATAGAGATGCTCAAGGACCAGAAGGTCCCCAATGATCTCTATGGTATAGGAAACCAGAAGTGACCAGCATTTTCATCATTTCCAGATTCCCGGATGTAAGCAGCGCCATCTTTAAATGTGGAAAATATCTGATCCCTCCGATCTTAGTGTGGTCAGAGGAGACATCCAGGATCTAATAGACCCCAGATTTCTCAGTAAAGAGGACCTGTCACTGACTATTGCAGTCACAGGGGAAGTTTACATTTAAAATGAACCTCTCGCCCTCCGGAAGATTTACCCCCCTTCATGACCAGGCCAGGTTCTGCTGTTCAGCACGGCACTATTTCAACTGGTAATTGTGCGGTCGTGCAATGCTGCACCCAAAGTTTATGTCCTTTTTTCACACAAATAGAGCTTTCTTTTGGTGTTATTGATCAGCTCTGCAGTTTTTACCTTTTGTGCTATGAACAAAAAAAAATCAAAATTTGGAAAAAAACAATATTTTTTCACTTTTGCTTGTACAAAATATCCAATAAACTCAAAGTTAGTCATAAATTTAGGCCAAAATGTATTCTTCTCCGTGTCTTTGGTAAAAAAATCCCAATAAGTGTAAATTAATTGGTTTGTGTGAAAGTTATATCGTCTACAAACTATGTGATGTATATTGGAATTTACGTAGATTTTACTTTCTGACTATCACATTTCTCGAGGTGCTAAAATACTAGGACAGTGCAACAACCCCCCTCTCCAAAAAAAATGACCCCTTTTTGGAAAGTAGACACCCCAAGGATTTTGCAGAGTGGCATGCTGAGGCCATGGAACATTTTATTTTTTTGCCACAAATTTTTTGAAAATGACAATTTTTTTCATAAAACAAAGTTGTCATTTATATGATATATTGCTCATGCATGCCATGGGTATATGTGGAATGACACCCCAAAACACATTCTCCTACTTCTCCCGAGTATGGGGGGACCACATGTGAGAGGCTTTTTGGCAGTCTAGCTGCATCCAGGCCCCCAAAATCCAATGACCACCTCCAGGCTTTTAAAGGGCATATTTCCTCATATCACTTCCCCACTACCTATCACACATTTCAGAGGTTCTAAAATGCCAGGATAGTAGAAGCACCCCCTCAAATTACCCCTTTTTGGAAAGTAGACCCCCCAAGGAATTTGATAAGAGGCATGGTGAGTATTTTACAGATCTCATTTTTGTCACAGGGTTTTGAAAATGAAAAGAAAAAAAATACATTTTTCTTTTCTTTCTTATTCCAAAAACATATGACAACAAATGAGATCTGCAAAATACTCACCATGACTCTTAGGAAATACCTTGGGGTGTCTTTTCTAAAAAGGGGTCATCTGGAGGGGGAGGGGCTTTTACTATCCCAGCATTTCAGGGCCAACATTAGAACCTTCTGCCCCACATCACCCACTGTTGAAGGCCGAGCCTTTTCTGACACTTTTTGTTTACATGAAAAAACATTTTTTTGCTGGAAAATTACTTTGAACCCCCAAACAGTAAATATTTTTTTAAAGCAGAGACCCTAAAGAATAAAATGATGGGTGTTGTAATTTTTTACGTCACATAGTATATTCACAGCGATTTTTCAAATGCAAATCTTTTGGGAAAAATACACTTTTTAGAATTTTAATGCACAAAAAAACACAATATATTGCCAAATTGTTTGATAAAATATAAAAGATGATGTTATGCCGAGTAAATAGATACCAAACATGACATGCTTTAAAATTGTGACAAAGTACATACATTTTTATTATCGATAGGCGATGCTTTAAAAGCCTTTACAGGTCACCAATTTATATTTACAGAGGAGGTCTAGTGTTAGAATTACTGCCCTCGATCTGACGTTTGCGGCGATACCTCACATGCATGGTGCAACCGCTGCTTACATACTGGCACGGGGTCAACGCTTGCGCATGCAGGTGCGTGGTGGTGAGGATGCTTTTTATTTTCTTAGTTATTTTTATTTTTTTTTTATTTATTTTTACACTGTCCCTTTCATTTTTTGTTATCACTTTTATTGTTATCCCAGGGAATGTAAATATATCCCGTGACTGCAATAGGCATTAACAAGTGCTCTTTTTTGAGAAATCTGGGGTCTATTAGACTCTAGATCTCTCCTCTGCCCTTCCATCATCTCATCTCACCAAGATCGCTGTGACCAGATGCTTTCCCAATTTACAAATGACGCTGTTAAAGTGCAGCAAAACAGAAAATGATGAAATGCTCTTAGCTTCCGATTTCTTAGGTCATAGAGATGATTGGAGCCATTCTGGTCTCTGATCAGCTCTATGGTCAGCTAGCGGAACTGCCGGCTGCATTCTGATTCCCCTGTGGGACAGGAGAGCCCAAGAAAACTGTGGGAGGCGGGGTGGTGATGTCCCTTCCCGCTGCTTGTAAAAACAATTCAACAGCTAATTGGCCACTAGGATTGTTTTTACATGAAAGCCGACTGCCAGCTAAAAAAAATGGGTCTGCACTTCTCCAGGTCCCCGCACACAAGAAGCTCACAGTGGCTCAGGCTCTTGGCACTGTGGTGTGGGGGGTGTATATAGAGAATGTGTCAATGGAATGGAAGGGTTTTTGAGGCACAACTCACACAAAATATATTATATTACCATTTCATATACTTTATTCCAGAAGAATCATGAAGTTATAAATTCATTGAGAACAAAGCTTTCAGATAACCTCCATTTGTCATCATTATTTGTACATATGTATCCATTTCCAGAACGTATGGTCATCTCCACCTCCACACATTCATTTCTACAAACTCCTCCCATTTTTATTCTATGACTGAACTCGACACGTTTCCTGGATTGGGATCCACTTCTTCAGGGAGAAGAATAATGGAGGATTGTTTAAGAATCAACACAACAAAAATGTTCCAAAAATGAAGAAAACACAGAAATGTATAGATTGCTCCATTTGTATACAACAATGTCAGAGTGCCCATGCTGTGGCTGCAGATACCTGGAAACCACCAGGGGAGGCGCTACACCATGATAGGAAATTCTATTGGGGGGACCAAAACGGGGCCGAGGCTAGCCCCGCCCTCTAAGATGATCCTTCTCTTCCATAGAAATGCTGGAAGGAGCCCCCTTCCATAGCTATCTTGTGTAACACGGCAAGTACTAGAAAGAGGAGAATTCTAAGATGAAAGCAGAGATAGATTCAGAACATCCATGTCCTCCATCTCTAAAGACCATTTCCAATATCTCATAGAATCCAACATCGTTTCTTCACGACTTCCCGCCCACACCAATTCTCACATTCCCCCTACATGTACCAATCACCATTGTTTTACTAGAAAAAGACTTAGAACCCCTAAACATTATATATATTAAGAAGAGAGACCCGAGAGAATAAAATGGTAGGTGATGCAATATTTTTCTCACACGGTATGTACGCTGCGATTTTTCAAACGCAATCTTTTGGGAAAAATACACTTTAATGAATTTTAATGAAAAAAACACACAATATATAACCCATTTTTGGTGACATAACAATTAAATAGATACCTAACATGTTCGCTTTAAAATTGTGCACATCTGTAAAATGGCAACAAACTACGGAACTAAAAATCTCCATAAGTGAGGATTTCATTTTTTAGGGGTTACCAGTTTGGAGTTACAGAGGAGGTCTGGAGCCGCCATCATTGCTCTTGTTGTAACGTTTGTGGTGATACCTCACATGTGTGGTGGGAACACCGTTTACATATTTAGGTGAATGAAGGAGATGTTCTATTACAGTCCATGCCAAGACAAAGACTTGATTTCTAGTTGTGGGATGGTGTGGGGAAGGAGGAGAACCCCGGCTGGCTTTTCCTACTATAGGGGGTTCTGGGACAAGGAGTGAGGGCCAATCTGTACCAGGGACACAGACATAGAAAGATCTGACAGGGGCCCCAAACCTTCCCCTTCTTTACTCCACTAAACATAGGATTCTTATTTCACTCTGTGTTTCTGTTGGAGAGTTCCCCTCATTTCCTGTCTAGGAAAATGTTGTCACCGGGACAGGAAGTGAGGAGAAATCTCTCTAATGGAGCCCCAGATAGGAAACACCTGACCGGGGATCTAATCCTGACCCACTCGGCCTACAAACTAAGTCTTCAGTCCCACTGGATCCCACTTTGTAATCTGGAAACGTCACTTGAAGTCGCTCGATTCCAAAGTCGGATGTCAGTGCGACTTCAGGTGCGACTTGCAGGACATCTGTGTGACTTTATATACAAGTCTATGCAAGTCGCAGCTGAACTTGGAAAAAGTAGTGCAGGAAGAACTTTCATAATCGGTGCGACTCGGATGGAGGGGGATTTGTACCGGTATGACCGCTTCCATTGTGGACAATAGAGTGCGACTTGTCATGTGATGAGAAACTATCAACTCACATGACGAGTCGCACCGCTGTGACCGGGGACTAAGAAACACAGTCTGGGCTCTCTGGTACATCAGATTATTTCTTTCAGTAGTAAATCTGTAGAAGACGTCTTCATATATTTCCTCTCAGATTGTTACATTTATTTCCATCTCTTTGTAGTATAATTTGAATGGGGGAGGGGCAGAGAGAAGAGGGAGGGGAAGAGAAGGGGTGACCCCATCCTATCCCATCACAGTGACTGCACCCCACCCTCTATGTCTGATCATGGTTCCACCCCACACAGAGGAACCACATGGGGGAGGGGCAAGACTCAGGGGGAGGGGCAGAAAGGATGGGGAAGAGCAGAGGATAGGTGTCCCCATCCTATCCCATCACAGTGACTGCACCACACCCTCTATATCTGATTATGGTGACACCCCACAGAAAGGGACCACATGGGGGATGGGAGAGAGGGGGAGGGGCAGAGAGGAGAGGTGACCCCATCCTATCCCATCACGATGACTGCACCCCACCCTCTATGTCTGATTATTGTACCACACAGAGGGACCACATGGGGGAGGGGAAGGGGGGAGGGGATGGCTGGTGTCCCACACTGTGATAACTCTCTGCTTAAAAATGTGTTAGATTGTCGATGGATAGATGGATGGAGGAATGGATGGATAGATCGATCGCATCATCATCATCACTGACCATTAGGACCAATGTTATTGTGACTCCAGTAATTGGACAGAAATTCCACCCAATCACAGAGATCGGTGACAGAGGAGAAATCTCACATTTATTTATAGTACAAAAATTTACAGGAAGCCCCGCCCACCACTCTATATACTATTGGATGAATATGAAATTAATTCCAATTCTTCATTTGACATCACCAGACTGTGGGCGGAGTTCTCACATCTCCCCCCTCCCCCCACATATCTTTATACAACCTCTCCTACCCATACCCCCCAGCATGGAGGGGCTCAGTGAAGGTGGTGGTGAAGGTGTGGAGGTGTCGGATCGGGTCACACAGATCATAGAAGGAGATCCGCCCGGCCTCATAATCCAGATATATCCTGACTCTGTTACTGAAGGGGTTGGGGGTATTGGGATCGGAATCATTGTCATGTATCACTGAATACCGATCACCATACCTGTCCAAACCCCAGGACTTGTTATTCCTTCCAATTAAATGACTCCTCCTCTCCTGTCTATACTGGGGTAACACATCCCGAATCCAGCACTATCTGACCCCCCGACATCCACTTCCCAGTAATGTCTCCCTGAGGAGAACCTCTGACTGCTCATCACCTGAGGACAATACAGGAATCTCTCTGGTGGTTTTTGGGTGATTCTGCTTTATATCTGACCTGGACACAGTTTTCCCGCCATCTGATATCTGTAGATAATTATGAGCTGTGTTTCCATCCAGTAATATGTCCTCAGCCCCCTGTATATAGAAGGATACATTTCCCCCTGTTATTATATCAGATAAACCTGTGTGTAAGACCCCCGCCACATCCAGCCCCCCTCCATCATGGAGGAGTTCCTCATGTCTCTCTCTGTCCTCATTATCTCCATCCTCAGTATCACACAAGTCACCTGTGTCTGATTCCTCATCATCTCCATCCTCAGTATCACACATGTCACCTGTGTCTGATTCCTGTAGGACAGTCAGTGGATCCGTCATGTTACACATCTCCTCAATGTCACGCATCTTCCTGGACAGCTCCTCCTTCTTTATTTCCAGATCCTGGATGAAGATGGAGACCCGCTCTGCCCTCCCGGAGATGTCCCTCAGGACTCTCTTCTCCAGGTCTTCCAGACGTCTCCTGAGGTCTATAAACAGGGCAGTGACTCTCTCGGTGTCACCAGCTTCTTCTTCTTCTACTTTCCTCCTGTGTTCCTGCAGACTCTGGACTCTTTCCTCCATCTCCTCTCTCTTTGTCAGAAGTTTCTGCAGAACATTCCTCAGTGTCTCCTTCTTCTTCTCAGAAGCCCCATCCAGAGACACCATCTTATGTCCTGTGTGTTCTCCAATCACATAACAAGACATACAGATACAGGTCTCATCCTCAGTGCAGTAATACTCCAGGATCTTCTTATGGACGGAGCATTTCCTTCTCTCCATGGACAAGGTGGGGTCAGATAAGATGTGTTCTGGGGACTTTTTGTGGACTTTCAGGTGTTTATCACACAGAGAAACCTCACAGTGTAGACAGGATCTAACAGCAGGTACAGGAGAGTCCACACAGTGAGTACAGAAGACCCCGGAGTCCTCCTGACCTGGCTGAGCAGACAGGAAATTCTCCGCTATGTTACGTAGTTTCATGTTTCTTCAGTGGAGGACGACCCGGAAACTTCTCTCTGCATTCAGGACAGGAATATCCTCCAGACCCCTCCTGTGTATCCAGCACACGACCAATACAGACCAGGCAGAAGTTGTGTCCACATTTCAGGGTCACAGGATCGGTATAAATGTTCAGACAGACGGAACATTCCAGCTCAGCTCTCAGAGCAGAAGACGCCATCGCTGACAGAAGAACAGAAACGAAAATGAAAGTCTCTGACACCGGAGAGGAATGCAGTGGGGGAGGGGTGACACCCTCCTACACAGGGGAGGCTGGGCTGGGTGAGTATTATAGGACATGGAGATCAGAGTACAGAAGGAAGAAGCTTTTATTTGCAGTAGTCATGATAATCGCACCTCCCAACATTGCAGGACAGAGAACGAGGGAAAGACGGATGTGGGGAGACGTGAGGAGGACTAAGTGCATTGAGATGGGAAGTGGAGGTGACTACATGATGCTGAAAAGGGATTCGGTTCTATAGAGTCTGAGCTCACACTATACACTGCGTATACTGCAGCCTGTGTACCCCCAAAACATGTCTTCATTATTGAAATATATAAATAGGTGCAACGCTAAATATTATAACTGAATATCTAATAAGTAATATGAATCAGTCCAGAGTATAAATCTGTGCAGACAAGAAATCCAAGAATAGTGAAGTCAGCAGCAGATAGACTTGTGGGCTCCTCTCCTCTGGTTGTAGAAAATCTCTGGGGGTCTCCTGCAAGCCTAATAGCTCCATAAAGGAGCCAAGAAACAGGTACCCATAGTGTAGTATACTTGAGTATTTTATTGAGTAATTTAAAGTTGCAAGGTGGTAATGTGACATCCACAGTATTGCAGAGCATGCAGCAATAACCCTAAGGAAGATGGCTGCCGGGCTTCCTCTTAGCTCCGGCGGCGAAGACGTCACGCTCTGTCTGGTTCCTCCTAATATTTAGCGCTGCACCTATTTATATATTTTTGTTGTTTTATCTGAAGGTTTATTTTGGTACCTTTTTGGTGTTTTAGCAGCTATTTTAGGAACGCTCACTATTTATAATTTACTTTAATGTCTTAATTATTGCACCAACACCCCAACATGCAGAGAGTAATGGTGGTAGTCACCTCGTCTAGGCAGGTGCAGTCTGTACTCCCCACTACAGGTGGCGCTCAACTGAAGTGGCAATGCAGAAAGGGAAGGAAGTTGTGAGGAACTTGGTTCCTCTATGACTTCATGCAGTCACAGGGTGTGACAGAAATGTGACATGAATGTACAGATTTGAGTAGATAAGATGTGACCTGTAGAGAAAATGACAATGTAAATTTAGCTCATTCCTTGTTATTAAAGAAATATTCAGTCATAGGTACTCAGACAGATGGTCATCAATTAGCTCATCAATTAGCACCTGAAAAGCCTGAAAAGCCTCTGGCTGGAAGTGACATCTGGGTGCTAATAAGATTTTGACACCTATACATAATCAGACTTGGCTGCCTTCCTGAAGCTGAAAAGAGAAACACAGACATTTCGGCTTCATGACAGCAGGGGGTCTCCGATCTGTCTGGGAAGCTAAAAGAATAAACATACATCAAAGGCCTATGTTTCATCTCTCATAAAAGCTAAAATATTAGTTGCTGAGAGATGAATACTCCCTTCTGTTTGGGCACGCTGTGGGTCACACCAACATATACAAATCATATTTGTATCTGGGTAGAAGGCCAGGAAAATGCAGGAAATGGTTAGGTGGTGCTGGAGTGCAACAGTCGAATGGTGTGTGGTACTGTTGCGATTGGGCTGATGTGCTGGTGTCGGAAATCCAATCCCCGACTTGGTGTTTCAAACCGTCCTTGGTCCGATTGAACTTGGGCAGGTCAGCACCCAGAACATCCTGTGGGCGGGTACAGGAACACCACCCAGTGTCAACTGGCCGAGGAATAATGTCCCGCCTATGTCCATATACCCATAAATTGAGTACCCGGACATTAAAACATTGTATTTCGTATGCAGTTGGTCGATGGACTAACGGATTACAGACTTTTCTGACTTGCTCCAGTCTCAGGATAAATCTCGGTAAAAGTTTTACTTCTGTCTTTTATTCCCTTTTATTTTATAGTGAATAGTCATTTGTGTGTCTTCTTGTATTTTCTGTAACTTTTTATACTTTGTACATATTTTATGCCCCGCCCACTTTCAGGATATTAAATCTTAAAATTAATAAGTGACTTCTGTGTATTTAAGCTCGGGCTCATATCTCCGGAGAGATTAGATTGGAGAGATTAGATTGTAGAGATTAGATTGGATTGTATTTTAGTGCCTTTAAACACTCGGTCAAGCTCATTGCCAATCTGTATGCAATTGCACTGTGTGTGGGCAGATTGTATGCAGATTGTAAAGGTAACAGATCTGCCAGACAGAGATCTGTGTGTGTGGGGTGTCCCAGCAGACCATTCTGTGGATAAACTGCTGGGTGGTGGCAAGCTACCTTTTGTGGTGTGTCTGGTGTGGGGGTGTGGACAGTGGGAGCGTCATTTACACCAGGGTCCTGGATGTAGGATAGCTGGAAATTTTTTTATTTCAAGAGAACTTGCGACCAACAAACAAAAAGCTTTTTTTTACAAAATTACAAAAAATAAAATTAACAATAAATACAACACCATTCCTCTGGCCTAAATCATATACAAAATACTTCATAATAAAACATAAACATGGATATGAACATTCAGCCCTTTATGGCTGTAGCATTAGAGTCCATAGGCTGTAGAAAGGAAAGGGAGAGGAAAACAAATGGCCCAAATAACAAGGCTTCAGAGAACAAAAAAAAAGACCTTTCCGGCCTTACCACATTAGTATGAAGAATCAAAAAAAACCTCTTACAGGCCTAGCATCAAGGGTTACCTATAAAGAAAGGCCTTTACAGCCTGACCTCATAATACACAGGAAAGGTCATTGGCCTTTATGGCCTGGCATCATAGCATACATGAAGGATGCTGGCCTTTATGGCCCAATATCACACAACTCTCAGGCTTTAAACCCAAGAAAACTTACAGCTATACAAAAACTATACCCACCAAAGATTAAGAAACCTAGACCTTCAGCGAATGCAGCCTTTCATCAAAAACCATACTTACTTGCAAAATCTAGGGGAGTGAAAAGAGGAAAAAAAAGAGACAGGGACCACCACCCGAGATCAACAGACAGCAGCTACGAGCCTGATGTTCCTCCATCCAGACTTTTCACTGCAATCTGTCTTTCTCAAGACCCCAAATCTTCCCAACCTCACCAAGAATGTCACTCACCACCACCTGGACGGGAAGGACTTTTTGCCGAATTGAGACCTGACACCATGCGTTCCATGTGTAATAACGGACCGCTAAGCTGACTATGAAAAGAATGTCCAAATCAAAAACCCGTGCGACTTTTGAATGCCCCATACACCCACTCTGCATAAGACATGCAGTGTAGGAAAGGAACACCCAGAGCCCCACCCACCTCTCTATACACCTCTATGTTGAAAGGAAACCGAAGCAAAAAGTGGTCCATAGTCTCCACTTCACCCCGACACTCTGACCTCAGACAACCACGGTCATCCAGAGGACGGTACTTCAGGTTTCCTCTCACATAGAGCCTGCCATGGAACGCGAGCCAAGCCTGGTCCCTGAACTTCAAGGGAATCCGCTCCAAATTAATCAAACGTAGACCCTCCCGCATAATATGGCTTGGGCAATCTTTCAGGGCCAGTGACACATGAAAAGCGGTAGCCACAATCCTCTCACCCAGAAGCTTCCTAGGGAGGGATCTGATTTCCTCCGCCGTCGTCACATGCCACCGCTTAAGTATCTTCAAGCTCTGGGCTACGTAAGCCGAGAGCTTACCATGCTTAACACGCAGGCTTTTCACTGGCCCACCTCTCTCCCAACAGTCCATAAAGGGTCTAAACCAGGCCCTAAACAGGCTTACCCATGCAGGCGGTCTCTCTGCCAACATGCTACCAAAATTATGTTTAAAAAACATCAGACAAAAGAACACAATTGGGTTGACCATACCAAACATCTCACTTTGACAACGGACAGCCTAGCTTCCCAATTTGACTTGCCATAATCAGCTGGGCCAAATTCGATGCCTAGAATTTTTACTTTCTGCTGGGGCACCGGGAAGGCATCCGGAAGTGAAAAGCTCTCGCCTTCCCTACCCATCCAGAAAACTTCACACTTGTCTTGGTTGACCTTGGAGCCTGACGCCTCGGAATACTGTTCCATCAATGAGACCACCTCCTGCGCTATCTCAGTCCCAGAGATAAAGACAGAAATGTCATCAGCGTAAGCAACAACCCTCAGAGATGGCTCACCAGCAATGACCACCAGCACCCCACCCAACGCTCCACCATCTAACCTCCTAATGAAGGGGTTGATGGCAAAAACATAGAGCAAGGGGCTCAGCAGACACCCCTGGTGCACCCCAGAGCGAACCCCAAAGGGCCGCCCATTCACCAACATGAAGCTTGCAACCCCCTTATATAAATCCTTAAGCCAGCCAATAAACCTCCCCTCTAGGCCGTACCTATCCAGGAGATGCCAGAGGTACTTATGATCGACTCGATCAAAATCCTTTGCCTGGTCTGTCACAATCATGCACACAGAGATGGGCGCGGTCATCCATTTCTGCTCCAAACAACTACATTTTGATATTTCTCTTCAACTCCCAAATCAGTCTCCCTCCTCCGATTTCTCCCCTTCCTCAGGAATGCAAGCAGCGTACGATGCTGAGCTCTGCCTAACAATCCTCTTACCAAATAAGGTATTGGCTTGTCGTGGTAGGAAGATACTAGTTGATTTTGTGTAGAAAAAAGGAGCAGCCAGACAAGTGAGGAGTCAGACAAGTGAGGACCATTCCATATAACATCTATCGGACAGAACGCAAAGGAGAATCTCGCGGCAAGAACGAAACCCAATGCAAGACCAGAAATCCTTTTTCTTTTTGCTCATCAGACTTGGAACTGCTTAACCCCAGACATTTATTTGGCAAGTACTTATTTACCTAAACTTCTTTCTGTTATCTGTTTGCTGTGCTCTGTGTATTTATATATATATATATATATATATATATATATATATATATATATATATATATTGGTTACATCTTCTTTCTGTAAATATTCGTACTGCACCCTTTTAACCTTTTGGTAATAAATCTTACTTTCTAAAAGTGTT